AGCTAAAGAGGAAGAAGTTCAAATTTATTGAATATTTACTTTTTATCCTGGAAGCATATATAATGCAGGCTTCCCAGTTATCAAAGGAGAACATCGTCTGTATATAAGTCCAGACTTAACTTTGAAGGAACTGAGATTTAGAAAATGAGCAATTAGGAACAGACTAAGCTAAATAGCAAGATTCTAAATAGCATGAGTAATATCAAAAATGAATATATAAAAATGAATAATAGCAACTAACATTTATTAAGTATTCATTTCCAGGCACTGTGCTAGTATATTCTACACATTTCCACTTAATTCTAATAAGTAGCTAGAAAGAGAATTGTTCTCTTCATGTTACAGATGAAGAACTAGGGGCTCAGAGGAGTTAAGCCAAGATTGTCTAAGGTTACACAGGTATGTTGGACCCCAGAACCTAGGCTATGGTACATGGCCTTCTCATATGCTATTCCAACTATATCATATCGACTTTATGGAGGATGGTGTTAATATGTACAGAATCACACGTTTCAATCCCTAATTTACTCAGGTTTGTTTCCTCACAAATGCATAATAACATGTATAAGAAACTGTAACTGACCCTTGAACATGGGGGATAGGGGTTTCAACCCCCCATGCAGTTGAAAATCCACATATAACTTGCAACTCTCCAAAACCGTAACTACTAAGAGCCTACTGTTGATCAGAAATCTTGTTAATAACATAACAACTGGTAACACATATTTTATATGTTACATGTATTTTATACTGTATTGTTATAATAAATAAAGCTAGAGAAAAAAATGTTACTAAGAATCAAAAGGGAGAGAAAATACATGTATAGTACTGTACTGTAAAAAAATGCATATTAATGAACCCATTTAGTTCAAACCTGTGTTGTTCATGGCTCAACTGTATATATAGTAACCATTTATTTACTCCACAAAATTTTATTAAGCACCCATTATGTGCTAAGCATAGTTCTAAGTACTGGGGATATAGTGGTTTATAAAGCCTATAGTTTAGACTTTAAACAAATAATCATAGAAATGTATATAAAAACACAAAGCTATATAAGAATCATTAAGGAATATTTAAGGTTGAGAAGACATTGGAACAGAAGGACCTGAATTAGATGGGTTGGGGGCAGGATTAGGGTCCTAACAAAGATTTCTCTGAGGAGCTAACGTCAAAACTGAGCCCCGATGGGAAAAAAAAAATACATACTATGAAGGTGGGGGGTATTTCAGGGAGAGGAAAGGTTGAATGTCAGATCTCTAGGATAGAAAACACTTGACAGATTATAAGATACCCAATTTAAAAACCTATGCATTCATATATTACATTAAGTGGGGAAAAGGATGTTACTACATATCAGGTTTTGGTTTTATATAATAGGAATAGGAGGATAAATATAGCAGATCCCTTCCATGGAATAGCTTAGTTGCAAAGATAAATTGTATGATAAAGACATAAACAAGAATGCCTTGGGAACAGAAGAGAGAGCAACTAAGGCATCATAAAGGAGTTCCTGGTTGAGCTGAGTTGAGTTGAGTGAAGGATGAGGATTTCATGCGGCACAGAAGTGGGAAAGCACTTTCCCAGCAGAAGGAATAGTATGTGTAAAAGGCACAAAGATGAGAGAACGATGTAGCCTCAGAGAAGTGTGTGGGGGCCACCTGTTAGAGAAGGGGCTAGTAGTTAGGTTATGGCCAGTCTACAAATGGTTTTGTAAATCCTGCTGAGAAGTTTGGACTTTCCAGTCTTAGCCAGGGGCAGATATTGGGGGTGTTAGTCAGAAGAAAAATATTTAAGAGGTGATTGTGGTAGGTGTATAGGGTTTGGAATTATAAAATGGTGGCAGGTTGAGAAATGAAGAGACTTTTGTCATATTCCAAGCGAGAGACAATAAGCTTCTCAACTAACCCAATGGCAGTGTGATTGGAGAGGATGGGGCAGGTTCGAGAATATTTTGTGTTTAAGAGCTGCTGGCCATGCTAAGGGTAAAGAGAGAATGTATAAATGTAAATACCTCGTGGTAACCCAGAACTCTAAGATACTTCGGAAATCTGCCTCTTCCTCTGATTGCTATCTGATAAAATATTATCTCTCTCTTTATATATACATGTATGTCTATGTATATATGTCTCTGTGTGTGTATATATATATGCATATATATACATAGAGTGGCAGACAATATTTTATTTATGTCTATATATACATTTATATGTCTGTATCTATTGAACGATTTTTTAATCTATTTATCTTAAAGGACCACAATTTGAAGTGCTCGTAGTTGTGCACTGAACAATCTGCAGAACCATATGAAGGGTTGTATCCCACCACCATCAATGAAGAGAACCGATGCATGAATTATTGGCAGGGCTGGGGGCCCCTTGTGTCTGCAGATGTGACTAAAACACACTGTGCTATTTGTCATCTTTTAGACTTGTGTGAGTCCTATCATTTTCTGGCAGTAATTTTGATACTTTGGATAAGTATTTGGATTGTACATTTTTGTGTTTACCTATATAACCATATGGATAGAGAGATACATAGATACATAGATTGACACATAGATTCATAGATAATTAGATTCATTTGCCACAGATAAGTTATCTGCAGATGGAACCAAGGTCTCCTGTCAAAATATGTAGAAGCATTTATTTATTTTCAAGTGCTCCTTTCTTCAAAAAATTGTCATGCTAACAAAGGGAGGGCCATAAGAGTATTGCCAAATTCAATTCAGATTTAAAATTAAATTAGAAGCCTTGAGAGCCGCCTTTGGTGAGTAGCATGCCCTGGAGAAACAAAGACTACGAAGATGGGCTCCTCCCTCAGTGGTGTGCATTGTGCTGGGGAAGCAACTGGAATGAGGTGGTTTCCTTCATTGTGGTTAAGTGCTGTGAGCGAAGAAACACTGGGAAATCATTCAAAGCAGAGGAAACAGAATATGCAAACATAAATACTGTGTTCCGGGCCTTGATAAGATGTTAAAACAAAGAAGCAGCTTAACCTGATGGAAAGAATTCTGCCATTTACTGGCCATGTTCTTTTGGGGAATTTACTTAACCCTCCCCTTGCCTCAAATTTTTTTTTTCATTTTTCATAGTGAGAATATTTGTTTTATTTATTTCATAATTTGTGAAGAAACCATAAGATAATATATGTGCAAGCAATTTGAAAACAAGCATTATGTATTAATATACATTAGTGCATCGTACATATTAATAATAAGGATATCATAATTGAGAAAAGAAAGAACTTTTGTTTCTCTCAGTTCACTCGCTGTGCTTCCTTTCTTCCTGGTATCCACACCCTTGATGCTATACTTATCTTTCCTCCTTTGAGAAAGTAGCAGGGTCCTTCTGGAAGAGCCAGGGGGGCAGTCAGCACCGCATGGGGCTTGGTGGGAATGTGTGGAGTAACTCTGCAATTCCACTCCAGGAACCTGCCCCCTAATGGGTGACATTGACTGAGCACCTGGAGAATGAAGAGGTCATGCTAAATATCCACGGAATTTTACAAATATATACTAAGCCAGGACCCCTTGAACTATCAGATGCGACACAGCATGTACAGAACTGATGATTCTGAACTGGGGGTTGTGTTGGGAGATCTGTCCCTGGGCATCATATGTACTAAATTATCCTCTACTAACCTGACTGTACAACCCCCTCACCCGAGCTGTGTCTACCCTAACACCAGCACCAGGGAGACTCCTGGGTCTAGAGAAAGAACTTCAGAGGGCCAACATATCCAGCTAAAGCAGACATTATTCTGAGAATATTGTGGAAGATGCACTGAAGTTGTTGCTTTATAAAAGTGAAAAAAGTATCAACATTTCTAAGCCCAGAACTATTTTTTAACAAGCTAGAAAATACTGAAAAACAAGTAGTACAATTTTCTCATGAGAATGCAGTGTAGTTAGAATGCACACTATTTTTTCCCAGTGTGTATTTGGGTAAAATATGTGCAGTGAAATTTCAGGCCAAATCCTAATGCAGAAATAATCCAAAATATGGCAGATTTATAAGCTAGGCAATTTTTATTTATTTGCTAATATGGATTCCCTTAAGAAGTCAAATGTTCTACACGTTACTTATGGCTTCTTCTTGAAAAGACTTACCTCTAAGGTCTCAGCAGCATAAAACTCCCGGCTGCAGAGTTGTCTGAATCAAGCATCAGCCATAATTCTCCTTTGCCACTGACTCTGGGTGGTTCGGAGCCTACCAGTACTCTACCTGTTTGGTAATTAATAATTCATAATTAAACTGGCAGTTTGAATAAATCAGCATAGCCGTAGGCTTGGAGTCTCCTCTCTTGCCATCCTTCAGAGAATCTGAAACATAACAGAGAAGAAAGGTTTAGGTATCTGAAATCCTCCGTTAAAAGCTTTGACCTCCTGCCCCCAATCCCACCCCGTAGTTTTTTGGGTCTGTTCCATCCGTTCTTTGGATCTTTCTTTCAAAGAGGAATTAAGCAGGACCCTTGTCAGCCTTGTGCTAGACACTGAGGAAATAGAGATGCATGTGACTCCACCCTTATCCTCGAGCAACTAACTCTAGGTAAAAAGACAGGCATGAAAAAATCCGCCGTGATACCTCATGCTCAGTGGTATCTGCGTGGAAAGTTCGGACAAATAGAGTAGGAGAGAGAGGTGATTCTCTTCTCAGGATCTGGGGAGAAGTGAGGGAAAACTGCAGAGGGGAGGTGATCTTTGAGGTCCCTTGAGTGATGAGTCATATCTTTTCAGGTAGGAAATGAAGAAAAGAAGAGGAAAACAAAGCAATGGAAGTGCTTCTGCTTTTGCCATGTTCCACGGAGAGCCGGGGTTGAGCCCTAGCAGTGCACAGGGTTAATGGCCACCTTGTTGTCAAATCAAGCAATCTGAACATTATTATTGAGAATAATACTTATCATAAAAGCATGCTATGCAAATATTTATAGACTAATACCTCCGTTTGAGTGCAAAGAATCATTCTCATGTATTTCTTTTCTCCTTTGTTTCTTTACAGTTCCTCCCCAGATCATGAATATCTCCTCAGACATCACTGTGAATGAGGGAAGCAGTGTGACCCTGCTGTGTCTTGCTATTGGCAGACCAGAGCCAACTGTGACATGGAGACACCTGTCAGTCAAGGGTAAGGCCTTTACCTTTGGGAATTTTTCAGAGTTATTCTATTATTCTATTGAAGAATTTGTTCTAAAGCACAACAAAACTTTGGGAATCAGAAAGCAATGCTGTATTTGTAACATAGTAATGTAAAAGCAAATAGCCCACATGCATCAGTCACTGAGCATTCCATTCCAAAAAAAAAGAAAAAAGGATTTATAAAGAGAAAATGTACTGAATTATTTTCTCAGTCCTTTTTATGACCATAGAAAACTTCTGTTTTCCCAACCAGGAAGAACAGAGGTGCCATTACTTCAAAGATACTAATTTCTCAAGGTGGAGATGCATGGGTCAGTTGGTCATTTGCCCTTTCTTTAAGAAGAATGCTAGAAGGCTAGAATGCCCATTGTAAATGTTGGTGTTACTGTGCATCCTTGAGAAAAAAGATCTCCTCACTCAGTACTTTCAGACCATTTCCCCAGAGCCACACCTATTTGACCTATACATCAATAGTCCACCTGAGTGGAAGAAAGATGATGGAAAAGGTGAAGTACACCTAGCATGCATGTACTGGGCACTCAGTGGTTGGCATTAAACGTCAGTGATAATCGTCTCCACCTTTGTAGGAAGGGAACCAAAAGAACAGTGGGCCCTAACCCTTTGGAACTAAAACTTACTCCAAGTTGAACTTGAAGAGATGGGCACAGAGTCACTTGGTATATTTATACATTCCTAGAAACTATGATTAATTCTGGAAATTATACAAGAAACAAATGCTCCCTCAAGCATCAGAAAATACACACATGAATTTCAGTGAAATAGGAGAATGTGTGGAGTATGCCTGTGCGTGATGTAAAAATAACCTAGATCTAGAGGAAAACATAGGAACACATCTTGGTAACCTTGAGATAGAGAAAGTTTTGCTAGGACATCAAAGGCCCTTACCATAAAAGAAGAAAACATGAATACGTTTGGCTTTGTATTATTTTCTCACAGATGCTGTAACAAAGTACTACAAATGGCATGGCTTAAACAACAGAAATGTATTTTCTTGTAGTTCTGGAGGCTAGATGTCCATGATCGAGGGAAGGTAGGGTTGGTTCCTTTCGAGGGCTGTGAGGGAGAACCTGCCCGATGCAAATCCATTAGCTTCTCGTGGTTGGCTGGCGGGCTTTAGTGTTTCTTGGCTTGCAGATGTTATCACCCTGATTCCTGCCTTCATTATCACATGGACTTCTCCATGTGTGCTGTCTTTGTGTCAAATTTTCCCTTTTTATAGGGACACCAACATATCGGATTAGGGCCCGCCTTAATGACCTCATCCGATCTTGGTAAACTTGTAAAGACCCTATTTCCAAATAGGGTCACATTCTGAGGCACTAGGGTTAGAACTTCAGGGTATCTCTTTTGGGGGGAGGTGGGGGAATGCAATTCAATTCATAATGGCTTCATCAAATTTAAAGACACCATTAAGTGTAAATGAAAAGACAAGCCATAGACTGGGAGAAACATTTGCCATTCATAAATCTGACAAAGAATTTGGGGTTTTGTCTGGGTTATGTTTGGGCTTCATTTGGGTTATATGAAGAATTCTTACAACATAATTCTAACAACCCATCTTGAAATGAACAAAGCATTTGAACAGACAATTCACATAAGAAGATATATGAATAAAAAATAAGCACATGAAAATATGCGCAATATATTTACCATAGAAAGGAAAACTCAGTCATAATGAAACACCACTACACAATTGCCAACTGTCAAACTTAAAAACAACAAGAACAACAACAACAAACCCTGACAATATCAAGTGTTGCCAAGTGTGTGGAGCAACTGAAACTCTTACACATTAGCTCTGGGACTATAAAATGCTATAAGCACTATGGAAAACAGTTTGGCACTTTGTTATAGAGTTAAATATACACTTAACATATGACCCAGAAATTCTGCTCCTGAGTGTTCACCAAAGATAAATGAAAATGTCTGTCTACAAATATACATTGTACATAAATGTTCATAGCAGCTTCACTTGTAATCGCCTCAAACTAGAAATAACCTCAAACCTTCAACAATTAAATAGATAAATTGTGTATTTATCTATTTTTAAACATTTAAAAATGACTTCTCAGCAACTAAAAGGAACAAATCATTGCTGCATGTAACAAAATGGACAATTCCCGAAAACAGGCTGAGCAAAAGAAGCAAGACACAAAAATACCTACTGCATGATTTGATAGGCAAAACTAATTCATTGTGACTGAAATCAAGTCAGTGGTTACCTGGAGTAAGGATTTGGGGAGATGTGACTAAAGGGGCACATGGGAATTTTTTCAGGTGATGGAAATGTTTTAGATCTTGAATGTGGTGCTGGTTATGTTGCCGCTTACGTAAGTCAAAATGGTAAACTATACAGTAAAAATGGGAACATTTTATTGTATGTAAATTAAAATCTCAATGAAATTTTAAAAATATACACATAGAGATATGGGATATACTGACCTGAAGATTTGCCCCTAATCTGTAACATAATTTATGTAAGCAGTACTTCCTAGATGAGAGATTGGACTTGTTACTAGGAGCACCATTTAAGGGAAAACTTAAATGGTCTCATGTCCTCCATGTAAACAGAGATGCATATGGGAACCCCAGCCTTGTTGCAGGAAAAGATAATGCTAATAAATCCTCTGAACATTCTTTGTATATAGATCTCAGATATTGAAACACAAAATGTCTATATTATAAAATAATGTTAACAAGAAGGGACATCACAAAGCCCAACTTTAATGGAAATGGGCAGTAGCTTATGTTCCCAAAGACATAAGGCCCATGGGAATTTTGCTTGAAGTGAGGGATAATTTTGGATTTATATTACATACAAAACTATGTCTAAACATCAGACCAATTTCTATGTATTTGGTAAATTCAGAGGTTTTTATAAATGCTTGAAATCACAAATTGCATTTATTTGATCCTGAATGCATAGTTCTCTGAGCCTAGAAATCTTTTTTTTTTTTTAATTAGGTTAAGCACCATACATTACATCATTAGTTTGTGATGTAGTGATCCATGATTCATTGTTTGCATATAACACCCAATGCTCCATTCAGAACGTGCCCTCTTTAATACCCATCACCAGGCTAACCCATCCTCCCACCCCATTCCCCTATAAAACCCTCAGTTTGTTTCTTGGAGTCCATAGTCTCTCATGGTTTGTCTCCCCCTCCGATTGAAAGGCATTTCGACTTAGTGTAAGTGTTTTGAAACAATACCTTCTAATGGTACACTGGTAAGTTTTCCCTCTTAAAATAAGGGAAATTCATCCATATTCTCAATCTTTTATACAACTTAATAGTTACAATTCAGCCTCAAAAAAGCTCAGAAAACCCTACATTTAAATGATTCCTCTGCTCTTCAAATCTCCCAGGCTATGATCTACTTTCAGTTGCCTTTTGCCTTTTTCATAGCTTTGGCCTTCACTTTGCTGTCTTTCCTTCCCCCCATTGTCTTTCTCCTCCTCTTTCAAAGACATTTAAATATTTTAAACTCAAAGCATTGTTTTCCAAATTTGAAAAACTTTGGAACCTGGAGAGTTGGCAAGTTTAAAATGTGCATCTGCAGAGTGACTACCATTATTTATTTTTAGAAGGCTATTTCTTCTCACTTAGAGTTGAGGAGGCTCTGGGAAGTTGTTTTAAAGGTTTAGAAGAGCAGCCAATAAAACTTGAACATCAAAAAGCATTTTTAGAACAATTTGCTGGTTAATTCAGCATGCAAGAACAGGAAATAAAAGTTGCAATGACATTTCCATTGAAATTTCAATAGGATTACATTGGAGAATTTAGCTCACTGGACAGCCTTGTTCCCAAAATGCTAATAACATAAGATTTGAAATCTCTTGGTTAAATTTAGGGATCTGTATAACAAAGTGAATAAACAAACTTTCATTTAGAAATAGAATATTTTAATAAGCAGATTATTAAAGATTAAGAATAGTGGTAATGCTTATAGTTTAAAAAGACAGACCAAGGGGCGCCTGGGTGGCTCAGTCGTTAGGCATCTGCCTTCGGCTCAGGTCATGATCCCAGGGTCCTGGGATCAAGCCCCGCATTGGGCTCCCTGCTCGGGGGGAAGCCTGCTTCTCCCTCTCCGGCTCCCCCTGTTTGTGTTCCCTCTCTTGCTGTCTCTCTCTCTGTCAAAAAATAAATAAAAATCTTTAAATAAAAAAAATAAATAAAAATAAAATAAAATAAAATAGACAGACTAAACACATGCCGCCAATCCCTAGAAATTATAGGAAAAAGGTAAAAGCTAATGATCCAATAAATCCATTATCACACTAGAGAAAAATAATGGTAAGCCTGCATGGATCAGAAACAATATGGAATCTCTGAAATATAAAAAGTAAATAGATGTAATGAAGAGAAAAAAAAGAAAAAAACAGCTCCATATGATCTATACCTAAAAAGATATATAGTTGAAAAAGGAAGGATTTTAGATCTTGGTATACTGGTAAATGTTTAAAATTGATTGGGACCAAGACTGGGAAGGCAGAAGAGCCCTGGTAGCAATTGCCAATTTCCATGGTGCAAATATTCCCATCATTGCCACTTTCTTGGGAACCCCTCTGAAATAACTATGTATTTTCGACCCATTTTCACTTGAAAATAAACAAACAAACCCAAAACCAGTCCTTCCTATGAAAGTAAGGTGGAATTTTTGAAACAAATAATCCAGATCCCACATGTGGATCCAAAGTCTCCCCAGCATTTTGGTTCTCCAGACTAGGATATCTAACTGGAGATCTCTTGACTCCCAGTTTCCTTTGCAATGTTGACAGGTATGAAGATTCCCAGAAACTAGGTTTGCCAGGAGGACATCTGCCTCACCTCCAAGGAAAACTCAAGATTGTTACAGGATCATGATTATTAAGCATTGTGAGCATCTCAAAGAAAAGTGCTGTGTAAACATACATTCGGGGGTTTTGCAATTGACATGCAAACCACTGAGCATTTGACCATGTATTTA